ACAACAGTGAGAGGCCCGCGTACCGCAAAAAAAAAAAAAAAAAAAAGTCTTTTTACTTTAGACTAGGGTGGACAGTCCTCCTTGACCACTGCTTTCCCACACTCCTTCCCCTCTCTTACTTCAGTGCATTATCCATGAAGGGAGAGGAGGTGTGCTATCCATTAACTGTGGCCAGAGGGTTCATCTTGCCAGTGTCCTGAGCTGCTGAGGGGTCGAGGAGAGATTTGTACCCGATGTGTTATCTTACGGGCTTAAGGAGGAGGAAGAGACTGGGAAAGGGTTATAGGTTTAAGGAAAAGTTGCCCAGCTTCTGCCAAATGGGGATAATGCAGGCACCACAGGGCAATGGGGCTGCCCTCTGAGGGATGCCAAGATGGGGCCATGGCAGTTCGGGAGGGTAGACAGGCAAGCTGTCCGCTTTCATGTTGTTACCCAGGAAGACTTCAGTGTTCAGAGCCATGTACATTTCTACCTTTCTGAACTTTCTCTATCTGCTTCCCCTGCATGGTTGCCATGCTGAGGTGAGGTTTTTATAGACTGTACTTTTGGTGGGTCGAGTAGCTTCCACACTGGCTTGGGGCCAAGACGAAAGGTGCTATCACAGAGACTCTGGGTGCCACGTAGAGGTACATTTGCCACAAAGCGGGCGAAGTTTAAGGTTTAGAGTCCCTCATTTGCATGAGCTCTGTCCATGGTTGGCCTGGGAATATTTACACCAGGGTACAGTCTGCCCTTGGGAGGACGGACAGAGGAAGAGGCCTAGGTCGGCCCTGTCTGAACAAGAAATTCCAGGATGCTATATACATGTAGCAAGATCAGGAAGTGGGAGGCATGGGCTTTGAGTATACATATGCATGTTTCTTTGACCCCATAGACGCCTTGCCATGTGTAGAGGGACAGAAAGAGTGGAGGAGCAGAGTGTAGCCTGTAAAGTATGGATTCCCTCTAGCCTTGGTTAAGGGTGTTTCTGATAGTATCCCACTAAGGTGCCTAAGACTGGGAGGACATGTGTATACAGAGAGTAAAAATATTTCAGATGTGCAGGGCCAGAAGCTAGTCTGTGGAAAGTTCTTCCAAATCTTAAATCTCATATGTCTGAAAGACACGATGAAGATTTCCCCAGATTTGACAACCATCCTAACAGTTTCCATGACAATACCAGTAATCACTTCTGGGACTGAAGAAGCTTTTCTAAAGTATCAATAACAAAAGGCAAATTTTGACCAACCATGCTAGAAGAAAGACTGAATTATCTTTCTATTTCCTCTAGAGGATAAGATATGACAAAATCACTGTCATGTGAAGAAGTCATCAAAGAGCAAGCAGCCAAAAATATAGAGGAAAAATTATTATAGAGCCACGTCAGGAAGTTAATTAATAAAAATAGTACTTTTTTTCTATTCGTGATGTACGTGATAT